AACAGATGGTTTAGACAAACAGCATATTCGAATTCTGATGTCATTCTGCTCGTTACTTATCTGATATCCTGAAAAAAGATATTCATCTGATTTGGAATTATGTCTTTCGGAAAATCTATAAGCTTCAAAGGGAACGAATTTTCAAGCAGCATATTCTGTCGTTATAAAATTGATATCTTTCTCCTGGATTACTGAGCAAGTATGTCAGACAGGAAAGGATTTCAAGRGTGAATGAAGGAAATCATTTGACCTTCAAGCAGAAAATACTTTTTGAGCAATAGCTTTTTTCGTTTGTTAGATCATAAATCATTCCATCTATCATAAATTGRAAACAATTCATTTATCATATATTATGAATACATTATTAATCAATCTCGGACTTTTTAACTAATTAATTCATTCTTCCATCCATCTATCTACTAAATATTCATTCCTCAGCTCGGCTTAATTTCTCTCTCTCTCTCTCTCTCTCTCTCTCTCTCTCTCTCTCTAGCACTAAATCTATGTTTCTAAAAATCCATCTTAAACGTGTCAACTAAGCCGGCTTAATTCTTGACTCATTCAAGAAACACCTGATCCATAAAGACCTTGACTACTATTCATGTAGTGTTTGTTATAAATCCTTCTCCACTTACGTACAAAACCTGTCCAATATACTCGACAGGTGGAAGAGAGATTTAAGAGTTTCGGAACTTTCTTATCAAACTTACAATTCCGACTTAAAGACGTTGGGACTGAAGCAGTAATCGCTGGCAGCCAGGCTCCTTCAAATCGACAAACCGTTTATTAAAACTACCAAACTTGAACTCAAAATACCTACGTTTATCGCCTCATCCTCTTTCTGTTTCAAACTCAGTTTACTTTTTTTGACAATATTTGATAGAAAAAATTAATAGATTTATATTATGCATAAACATTCAATGCTTACTCACAAACCACGTTTGCTGGTGTGTTTTCGACCAGTTGTCAACTAAAAATAATCATTTGGAGTTCCCAACTAGATGAGTTCTAATGTCGAAGTCTTAACATATATCATATATATTGAATCATAAGAATAAACGCACACATGCCAAATTACTCATGTTTTTCTTTGTTTTTTTTTTCGGGGGGAGGAGAGAGTGGTTAATAATTGATTTGGATTTCATTCTTTTGGTGATTTATTTAGTCATATTCCGTTTCGTACACCTTATTAATCAATTGATTTAAAAAATATATTAGCCAAATGTCATCGAAATCCAGCATAGGACTAGAGTTCTACTTCAACTCAGAATACTAAGCTGAGTGTCTAGTACAAAGTTTTTCGTTTTTCGTTTCTCAAACTGATACGATGTTTTGGAATAACAATCCACTTTAAACTGGGTCTTATCTTGCAGATCCGCAGTTACCGATCCCTAAAGGATGCTTAAAGTCTGAGGATCGTACCTTGCTTTGCTCTGCTGGTCAGGATGCCGCCAAATCCGTTTGCAATATCGTGAAGATCCCAGCACACTTATATTCAGTGAAATATCAGCTCGCCGATATATTCTGATCGAGTATAGTCACAAAGTTTTCATTTTATGATTACAAATCTTACTAAATACAAAAGGTCATCTTTTTATAGTTCGGATYTTTTTCCCGTCGTGTGGATGGCAATTGATAAGGTTTCTTAATTAACCCAGTATTTCAACTCAACTGACACGAAAGGTTTTCACAATTGACCGGAGAGTTTTGCTCGGCTTGAGACTGATGCAGACTGACCGTAATAAATAATTTCTCAATAAAGATTGCTTTGTTTATGTGCTCTTTTCATTATGAATTGCTATCAGAGGTTGACATTAATTTTTTCAACCAAGCTGATTATCAGTCGGTAAGGCGCCTGAAAAGACCAGAATTGATGAACCTTCAAAACCTGGCTATCAAGATCAGAAATACCTGTCGAATCACTGCAACAAACAGTTTAAAAGACCTAAAAAATGAATTGGAAACGATTTAAGATCGTGCTGACTGGTAACGGTAATTGGAAAGCAGTTTGGCAGGATAATTATAGTTTAGGGATATTTTCTAAGAAACCGATTGGTTGTCGTAATGTTCAACTTATCAATAAAATGTACTAAGTACGACATGCTACAACTCGGGCTAGTAGGCTTCCTCTTAGCTTTTATACTATTAAAGTCATCTTTAAAATGTCATTGAATATGGCCAGCTTTTCTCAGGAACCGAAATTCTGTGAGTTGTTACTGATTGTGACAAAGAGGAGAATTTTAAATTAAAGCGATATGATCAAAGGTTATGTAATTTGGCTTTGAAAAATACACAATGAGACGATTACAAAGTTCTTGTTTGATGAAGGAAATTATAAACTTGCTCGGCGACTTGCCGTCATGCCTCTTTTGCATTTCCACTGATGAGYCTGGAGGATTGAATTTGTTCCGTTTGTCGTTGCTTATCTGCTACGGCACACAACATTATTACATCAGGATAAGTACTTTGTTATTAAATCTCTAGAAGATCTTGAATTAATCAAAAGCAAGGTAGTTGAAACACGAAGAGCTTATTATGTAAAAGCTTACAAGGGGATTGAAAACACTAGCACCGATTATCCGACCATACACAAGTGTGGATTTAAATGTGGGAAAGGATAAGAAAAGAAAAGAAGACGAAGTGTGGGAGGTAGTACAAACTATTATCCAAGCATGTCAACCATTCCTTAAACAAAATCGGTCATTTTTAATTTGAGGCCGTGTTATGGAGTTGCAGATAAGAATGTTATGGGTTTCGTAATTATGATGTGTTCCTAAAGAGCCTACACGCATATTAGTAATCAAATCAAATTAGCGAAAATATTGTTAATAGACATGTGCTAATCGATTTGAAATTCTAAGAAGAACGATAATCACCAAGGTCTAAAAAGTATTACTAGCGCGATAAGACAGGAATCTTTCGATGCCATGTTTATAAGACAGGATCTTTGAGGGTATTTCAATATCGTTTTCCACAATCGTAGCACCGGCAACAAAGGTAGGTACTGTGATTATCTTGTAATAGGCTAAGTAAACAGACCTGTTAATATTGCTAGGAATTACAGGCGCATTTACGTGATAATCCCATGAAAAGCGGCGCAGTTCATTTGTAATATCTTGTATTCTGCCATAGGCAGTAATATCTTCAAGGTCTTCCATTCACCTGCAGCGTTTTTAATTTTATGTTAATGTTGTTTTCGCTCTAAAACAAACAACAAAACCTTCATGAAAAACACATGTATTAGATTCTATCGCGATTTTCTTTAACAACACCGAATTGGGAAACCACAGACGACTTCCCTTCTTTGTGTGGTTGCCTAGTAACGCAATTAAGGGAAGCCAATGCGAATTAACGGTTTGCAAGTTAGTCGTGGTTTTGTAATCAAAGATGCAAACATATTCTGACGTATCATGTTTTCTTTCGTCTATTTTACTCGTTTACAGTCATCCAGAACAGTTGGGGTCAATATTCACTACATCTAGGATAAAACACATAGCCAGATCTAGAATAAACGCTTGTGTGGATGTTGCTCATTTGAAGCCTCGAGCTGAAACAGGCGCTACACGCTTGCCGACCTTAAGATTTAAAACCCTCTAGAATTCTTCAATATTCATCAGTCTACGTAATCCTCAGCACATCCAACATCGCAACACGGTGCTTGTGACATCTTAAGTTGACATCACCGTCAAGAGCAGTGGGTATAACGTCAAGACTTTAAATGAACATCAATTTCAATTCTCTGGCATTAATGTATTTGACATCTGATGTCAAGCTCTTGCTAAACTTCGTAGGCTCACACATTAGAGTGTGAAGTGGCTCCCAAGAAGCGTCATCAATAGGTTAAGCCATAATTTCTTTGCTACCATCATTTGCACCTTCTAGTTGGCTAACACACAAGGTTGAGTAAAAAAATAATCATGAACAATTCGACGTTCGATGTGGACAACAAACAGATTACAGCAGAAAACTACGCCAGAGYCACCATTTTCATCGCTGTTTTTCTGCTTGGATCCATTGGGAACATTTTTGTGCTTTTAATTGTAAAACGAAAACGCCGCCGAAGATTCAACGATATATTCATTGTGAATTTGGCAATCAGCGATCTAGGACTAATACTATTCTGTATCCCCGCATTTACGTACAAGGAACTTACTGGCTTTAAGGGATCCATGTTCTACTGCAAAGGGATATGGCCCATGATTACAATTTCATTATGTTCCAGTGTTTTTACGATCACTGTGATGGCAATTTACAGGTGTCGGGTTATTCTACATCCATTCGAACCTCCCTTACAGAAACGTAAAGTTTTTCCAATGATTGGTGGGATTTGGTTTTTATCTATTGCGCTGGCCTTCCCAATGTTTTTATTGGCAACGTACTCAGATGGTGCCCAAGATTGCATCGAACTATGGCCATCGGACATTCACAGACGTATATACACGTCCACCCTCATGATCCTTCAATACTTTCTTCCACTGTTGATCATAGCAGTAGCCTACGTACTTATCGTTATAGACTTGACAAAATCAAAGACACAGCCGCCGTCGCTCAAGTCGGGCAGAAAAGCCATTTGCCGCGCAAGACGTGAAGAAAACATTCGAGTCATCAAAATACTGGCAACTATTGTTGTAGTATTTGCGCTGTGTATGCTTCCTGGCCATATCGCATGGATGCTGTTACATTTTGGCGGGAAAAAGGAACTCGCYGTTTCAGAAGATATCTTCGAATTCTCGGACGTTCTAGCTATCATCCATAGCTCTTTGAATCCTGTAATCTACGGGACGCTCACTAAACGATTTCGCCAAGGTTACATGAAGTATCTGTCGTATCTGTTCTGCTGCCGCTTTTACGGGCTGACAACGACAACAACGCGGTCACTAAAGGGAAACAGAACGTCAGAAATGAGGACATTTGGTTCCGAAAAGCAAAGCATGGACGATGGCGCAGACTACGAAGACCAAGAAAACCAAAAGTAACATTGCGTTAAAAAGGACAGGAGTCTTAATTTTATGAACTTTACTGTTGTCAATTCAGTCTTTTTGACGAGTTTTCAGATGAAAATGGTCGCGTTGCTTGCCTTTTCGCTGTAAGGCTACGTTCAGGCGGAAATTAAGCCCAGCTCATTCGGCATGTTCTTGGCGCTAACTAGGCTTTGAAACTGTAAATTAAAATAATAATAAATCAAAAAGGAATTAAAGTTAATTAAATGAAATGTTATTTGGGTTATAATATTAAAGCAAGTAACCTTTTTCCCTCGGGCTCATTCCGGCATTGATATATTTTCATTTTTTTCTCTCTCTCTCTCTCTCTCATTTTGGTTTGTGAAATTCAATAAATTTAAATAACGCAAATACACTGAAATTTAAACAACCCTACGATGACTGTCATCCTTGCACACATACAATTCAAAAGCGGCGTGCGCACGTTTTTTTTTTTTTTAACGTTTTTTTTTTTTAACGATAATCAAAAGTGACCGCTAGCTAAAGGAGAAGTTTGGTTGTTAGCGTCGAAGTAGTTTTGGCCGCTTATTAACAAGTTCTATTCTTGCAGTGGATCGAGAAAAAATCCCCAAAATTTTGGTGATTTCTTAAACATAATTTTTCTGAAACTCGCTCTTGGCATTTTTATGGACCAATAATCTAAAGCAAACAAACAAAGCTGTGCAAATATGTCAGACATGAGAATTGTTAAGGCCACGACTGGACACTAAAATGTTACAAATTATCTACCTTTTTTAGCTTCGTTTTTTCGTTCCATTTTTCTTGTAGATAATAAAAATATATAAATTATTCAGTAAACGGCTTCTTTGAAATCCCCTTAAAGGACAATTATTCATCCCAGACAAACCACAATATACATAAATTTACGACTACTCTAGCTCCTTTACTCATTTCTTAGAGATTACGCACTTATCATCCATCGCGTTAATACCGACTCTCATTGGCCATCTTGGACCGTAAAATGGAATTCCAAACAGCTTCCCTGGGGTTTAACGATATATTGATCCAACAAAAATACTTACTGTTGATCCAAAAAGAACCCTTAGAAATATATGGCATTGTATATGAAGTATACACGCAAAAGGGGATATTTTTGTTGGCAAATCCATTAGCAGACGTCCTGCGTTTGCAGCCTTTTATTTCTAAGTCAAAGCATTCAATTACGCCAAGTTTCCCTGTTGACAGTCACAATTAGGATATAAAATCGAAGTTATTGCGATAAAAGCCTTAAATTCTTTTCTGATTGTTTTTGGTGAAGGAAAATTAATTGAATTTGTTCGGAACTAACAATCATGCCATTCTCGTTGCGTATACTACTCCTATATTATTCATGATGACTAAGAGCAACTTAGGGCAGTAGTCCCTTAACATATGGAACTGAATATTTCGTGGCCTTGATTTGATGAATTGTGACAAATTGGTCTAATTTACAAGAAGCAAGAAACAAATAAGATTTGGAATTTGAAGGAAATAACACCAAAAGAACAGATAACAGATACAAAAAGGGGAAAAAGATATTGAGCAACCTCACTAAAATCAGAACACATGCACTTATACCGAAGACAAAATATTGGAACCACACTTTGTAATGGTACCAACATATTCTCTTATCAAAACGAAATCCAAGTTATTTCACACTTAAGAGGAATTGAGATACATCTCATTCCCTGAGACAGGAACTATCGCTAATGAGATAGTGGCTTTAATGAATTATCAAACAGCTACAAAAACGTGGGATGATGAGATAACGTTATGCATACGTAAGGCTGTTAAGTCGTACTTGAGTAAACCGGTGTGCTTTTTGAAAATTGTGTGTTTGTCATTACTATTATCATTTTAAAACAACTACAAAAACTTGGGATGATGAGATAACTTTATGCATACGTAAGGCTGTTATCGTACTTGAGTAAGCCAGTGTGCTTTTTGAAAATTGTGTGTTTGTCATTACTATTATCATTTTCTTTTCCAGAAGAAGTTGCAATACGAGTGACGCAAATCCGACCACATCGAAAATCTATTAGTTTCTATATAATGTATTTTTGTGGTTTTTATCGAAAAACATTTGGCGAGACCAACATACAGCAGTAAGACGATATGCTGTTCATTTAATGAATCAAACCACCTCTTACCATGAATTTTATAGGGTGGAAACGAATCGAAAGTACAACAAGCCGACGAGCTCAAAGTCCGCAGTCATGTGATAAATAATAACTAATAATCCACTTAATAATTTCTTTCGGGGGAAAAAATCTTTATGCATATTTCCTTATCACTAACAATGCATTTGAGCAATGTCTTTTTCCTAGCAAAACATTAGTGGTTCTCTATTTTCTTTTTATATACCGTTATTATTTATACTTATTTTATAAATAATTTGTACACAAACTATTAAATTCTCTCTTTCAAAAAATTTCCTATTCACTCTCTCTCTCTCTCTCTCTTTTCCTTTTCAAATTATAGTAGAAGCAAAGGAGAAAGACTGGCAGTATTGACTTACTTTCAAAACACCACAAAGGTTGAAAAAAAATATGTATATAAAACATATCAGATAATTAAGTCTTGTTCTTTGAGGAACCATTATACGGTCAGTAGTGCCATTATCACAGTGCGGAAAACTTGAAAGACCCTAATAGGAAGTTGTATAGATTTTATGTTCATTGTTGTTTGCCGACGGAGAGTCGGGAAGTTTGGATTTTGAAAAGAAAAACCAAACAGCGATAATCAATTTAGAATCAATAAATAAATTCATACTCATTGGGGGAAAAACATTCACAATTATGAACAAATTATATGGACTCTACTTCAGGAGCTTTTCGTCCAGGCTCGTGACTCGTGTCATGAATAATTTCGACTATTTCAGAAGATTATGATATTATTGAGTGCATTAGACAGTAACTCGAGTAAGTCCTACTAAAGTAAATGTATTATAAAGGCTTGTCTGTGTCTAGTTTATCGAAGTATTGCTAGGATATCATATATTGTGCATGCCGGCCGTCTTATGTCTATCGTTTTGAAGCTTCAACACTGAATTTCCAAAAAGGATCAATATACAGTTTACCAATGTAAATAGACTCGTAAAAAGAAAACGAGTTTAAAAAAACTGTTCAATTGCATAAATTATGTGAAYACGAAAAATTCACCTGTTAACGTTTTTTTTTTTTAAAAGCGTAGCATTGTTCAACAACAAGTTCGCCTTTAGGTTACTTCAAAGCATGAATCGCAATACAAATAGCCATGTCATTTCAATTACCCCTGATGGAAGATTATTAAAGCGGTCAGTATTCTAAGAAGCTAATTATATTCCTTTAACTGACCACATGTTAAACTCCATATCTATTCCACTTAAAAATGTATTTAGATAATCTCAGTTTTGGGGATTGGTGAGGAAGTTTTCATCTATTTCACTTAAAAATTTATAAAATAATCTCATTTTTGGGAATTGGTGAGAAAGTTTTCACCACAGGTTTTCGTGCAGTGTAACCTTTTTTTGCGGTTTTGCGTCGGTAATTTATTCTAGCTATTTGTAGAATATGTGGTCTGAAAGATTTTTCATTCAGTAAATATTTCATAGAAGCCTGATACAAGTCTCGATTTCTCACTTTTACCACGAGGTCAAATTTCAAAACAACATTTATTCTAAATGAAATGGAAAAAGATTAGGAAATGACTACGCATTTTGTTAAATAGAAAGAGGAGACCGCAAAGAAATGCCGCCTCTTTAAACAACGCTTATAAAATAACAAATACACGAAACGAACAATTTTACTTCAGCAACCAATAAACTTTGATTGCAGGTGTATCCTGAGTTCTAAGCCAACGAATTGAAGCTTTTTCTTAAGTCTTAGCAACGTTAATGTACTTTCTGTGGCGTCTGCACCTTTCTTTGATGTTTGTGCTTATCTAACTGAATGCTAATTTCCATTACATATCATATCACATTTATCTCTTAACTCTGCGCAAACAGATAACGTTTACCACAGATAAATCCTAAATAAGCTATTTCTTAATGCATTTCATGAACGCTGAGAGAAAATCAGTGGGATATTGCTCATAAGCAGTAGCGCCTTAGGGTGGAAACGATGAAAAATCTAGATGCCATCAGTGGAATAGTAGCCGGGCATCCTTATAACATGGCGGTGCTCAAAGCCTTAGCCAATGACTGACTGATGTATTATTAATGCTTTTAAATTTATTATAAAGGCTTTGCTAAGTTCAGTCGTTGCATTTGTTTGCAAAGGCTTAAAGTTTTAGTTAGAATCAAGTGCACTTGGTTTTGTTTATATATTAACTTAAAACCAGGTTGGAATGAAAAGCTTTTTTGTTAATTTTTGTAATTTACAATTACTTAAGCTTCTGAAATATATTCACTGTTTTGACGCTGATTTATCTCGTGTAAAAGTGAAGAAAAAAATCATAAATGCTCAATTATACATAACAAAAAAAAGTAGGTTTCTCATTAATGCTACTGAAAAAGATAGCTTTGAATTAGACGTAGCTATTTTGTTGCAAATGACCTAAAATGAAGACATTTCCATAGAAAAACGCCGGATTTAAATTCAATGTGTCGTCATTACATTTAGAAGCAGTTTTCATGCGGTATAAACAAATGCCTTAAATGGGCTATTGAATTAATGGATTAGCGCCGTTGTAATAAATATATCTTTTCTTTGCTAACCTAAGCTCCGGTAAAAAAAACCCCGTCAAATTGTCAAAATTAGCGGAAACATGGAAGTCGTAAAAAAAGCACCGCTTGTTTAAGGATATTCGTTTATGTAATTGATAAAGACAGTCGGGACGTGGATTTTGTAGCTGAAGAATGTTCGCCGTGGTAACAGCACGTAAACAAATTTAGCGGGGTAGCCAAGAGCATCTAGGGGATATGATCAACCGTGATGTAGCGCCTCTTGCCTCTTGCCTCTCACCTCTGGGGTCTCGGCATCGGTCTCTTAGGCCCTGTTTACATGGGAGGAGGATGATCCTACGGGTAGGATCTTCCATGCAGGCGAATCAACCTACCGGCTATGATTTATTGTTTTCTGTTTACATGCATATTTGCAGGCTTCTTTCGGGTACTAGGATCTTCCTGTCTGAAAGATAGGAAGATCCTAGTAAAAGGATTGTGTTTGACTCTAGCAAAACACATATAAACGAAAAAGGAGAGATAACTCGCCTACTAGGGCTAAGTGATATTTATCTTGGGAC